CTACACTCAGTTGCAACATGGGTATTAGCTCCACATCGATAACACACTACAGGGGAAGGTGGGCCACTATCTGATCTATTCGAGGGTCTGTTCAGTGTCAGTTTGTCAAGACCAAGAGGTTTTTCTTCTCTACCCTTTCTGTGGATCTCTGTAGCATCTCGAGTGGCTGTTTCCATAGCAACTGCTATGTCAACAGCTTTGGAGAATTTTAATTTTGACTCTGCAAGGAGACGTTTCTGAATTTGCTGATTACTTAATCCACACACCAATCTGTCGCGCAAGGTTTCTTCCAAGTTACTTCCAAAATTGCAATGCGTGGTTAATTTCTTTAACTCAGCTATATAACTTAAAATGCTCTCCCCTTCTTGCTGATTTCTCTTATAAAAACGAAACCGTTCGGCTATTTCTAGTGGTTTAGGATTTAAATGCTTCTGTAATGTACTTACTATTTCATCAAAGTTCTTGTCTGCAGGCTTTTCTGGCAAAAGTAAATCCTTTAATAATGAATACGTTTTGCTTCCAATCAAACTCAGCAGAGTTGGCACTTGATGATTGTCGTCGACATCGTTTGCAGCGAAAAAATGTTGTACTCGTTCAACATACGTCTCCCAGCTTTCTTGGGTTTCATCAAAAACATCAATTTTTCCAATCGTCGTCACTTATAACAATCCCAAATTCGTCGCCACTGTCGTGTATTTAGATTATACTTTTAACAAAATATGAATAATACATAAGCATGGCCGATCTACATATATCTAATGCGCATGTCCGTGCGTATGACCGCTGTCCGTCTATATCTATATATCTAACAAAAGTGAAATATGAAAAAATATGTAACGCGTGTGTTTCCTCACCCGACCGTCGGTTGCCAAATAAAGTCTGTTCTTATTGAGTTGCTTTTCATTTTTGTCCATAAAATAAAAAGAACATTACACGGAGGCTCGAGGATATGAATATTATTTTCTCGTGTTAAAAACACACAGTTAAACTTATGTACATGTACAAATTTGCAGTTGAAGTTAAATCGGTGAATAATCTACCTCAACAACTGCATATCATCCAACAGTAGCTTAACATCACCTCGAAAAAATCCAGTACTTGCACCAACACTACGGAGAATAACCTGAATAAAGAGAACTTTTGTAAGATATACTGTCAACGATAAGAGATTGCGGCCACAAGTACATGGTTATTTTAAATGTGAAATTCGTCAAATGAAAATCTTGCATGGAATAGCAAAACCTGGCATGATTAAGCTGTAAAAGCCCTAGCCCACGTGCAGGCCCAAGGGAAGAATAGTGGGCCTGCAAGCAAGGCCTGGTATTTTGTAAAACGCCCCTTTTCATAACACAGCCCATTCGCGCGTCAATTGTCAAAAAAGAACCAATGACAGCAACCCAAATATTAACAAACAAACTCGCATTAAAATTTTGCGGGGTTTTCTCTGCTTTAATATTCAAAATAGAAACAATGTGTAAATGGCTGTGTTTTAACTCCAAAAAAGCAAGCAACGCAGTCAGTAATTGCCAAATTTGCAAGTGCTCATTTTCAACTAAAATCGGAACAGACAAATTAGAATTAGCAACAGAAAACCAGTCTCAAACTTCAAATCGTGAGGGAAGTCGTGCGACCACATTAGCATTTAAATGTGTGCTTCGCTGTTGCCGTTGTTATAAATAATTTGTCTCACTTATCAGATCGTGTGTGCAATTCTTGTTGTCGGCGGAAAGTACGAAATTTGTTTCAGTTATTTCATTTGGTAAAGAACTTTACAAAAGAAGAGAGGGTTCAGAGTCCAGATCGTTTCCGGTTTCAAACGTCTTCTGTTTCGCTCTCTCAGCGAAGCGTTGCAAATCGCAAAGTGTTTCGAATAGGCTTTATACATGCAACTGCCTAGTAAATCTTCACCGCGAAAAGCGCTGCTTTCTTCAGTGCAAGAACAGAGTCAACATCAACCAAAAGATAATTTTCTTGAGGAACATATAACATATCAAGTCTGTTTGAAATTAATGAAACTCAAGTAAAGGTTAATACTATAGTTTACCCCCGCAGTCGTATTAAATGTTGCTGTTCCGACACTTCACGACAAGCAATCCCCATTGGCATAACGGCAAAAACATCTCTTCCTTCAAGTAAACAATAAACAGTCTGTTCTTGTTCCATTTATGATCGAAAAAAGCGATCAACTTTCGAATTTTAAGCTTATCGAGAGCCTTGTTGATGAATCAGTGATCTAATTATAGAATCCAACAGCAAACAGCCAATCAGAATGCCGCGTTCGTGGCCGAACGCGGAAAGTACAAAATACCGGGCCTTGCTTGCAGGCCCACTATTCTTCCCTTGGGCCTGCACGCGGGCTATAAAAGCCCGCGATTGGCTGGATTTTAACTGTGAATATGTATAGATTTTATACAAGATATAAGGCGCACTATAAATATTAAATAGGCCAAAATGAGTTGAATTATAAATCAATTCAAAATACAGTTTAGGTGTATAAAAAAGTCCACTATTGTAAAATAGTCATTAAACTGGAAGCTTCGCAACATTTCCCAAGAATTTATGTGAATATGGGTATTTCATCATATAAAGTCTTCTGATTTTCCTAAACTATATATATGCTGAATACTGAAACTAATCTGAAAATTTAACTCCTTATTGCAGAAGTTTGTTTTCAAAAACCACATTAAGAGTGACCTGCACACAACAATAGACAGTTCAAAAACAACTTGAATTCATTGGGAACAAGTTTGCATAGTATTTTATGAACTAACAAAGAACCAGACAATTTGATGTATGTTACGTCGACCGCGCGACGTTTAGAACTTAGTCTTAGTCTTTTTTGCCGAATTAGCCTTGCACGCATATTTTTATTAACAGGTCACATGACCTTTGCACAAAAAATGGTGTTATCATTCACACTAAATCGGTGTCCACAGAGCGGCAGATTTACACCATATTGGTGTTACAGCAACACCCAGAAATTCAGAGGGTTATAAGCGTGAGGATAAGGCAATATGTTCAAGATGGTGGGGAGTTCAAGATAATCGACTTCTAGATAGCAAGAATCAACACTGTAATTTCATGCAGTGGTGGCGGAACAGTTGTTATTTTTTTTTGGGGGGGGGGCGGGGGG